TGCGCGTCTCTTGTCTTAATAGAATGTTACTTGTTTTAAATAAATGTTAGTGGATACAAAACATTTTGACGCTACTATCGAATCGACAAGATTAATCTTTTTTTCCCCCCCGCGTACGGAACGTTCGACTCAATTTGTAAGATATCGCCGAATGCATAATTTACGCTTCATCTAATCTCGCGGATTTGTATTTAATGCAACTTTGCGCGGGGCAAGCATTGCGAAAACGGTGTCGCGAAGAATCGCGTCCCGTCATCTAACGCGCGACTTCTTCTCGACGCGACCGCGTGGCCGCATTGTACGCGAGCAATAATAGCGCGATAAAGACCACTGTGCCAACGCGTACAGTAACACCGGACGCGTAAGTGCATCGCGCCGCCTGCCGTCGTCACCGCGCGGATTGTATCGCGGGCACATCAACCGCGTTATGAATGCGGACGGACGCGTTGCGCAGCCGCTCGAGCTAACGGTGCCGCTTGTCCGAACTTTGGCGCTGACAGCAAGCGAGATTTGAGGGTGAAAAATGGGAATCGTATGCCGCGCGGCTCTGCGAAATTCCAACGGGCGGGTTCGTTTACACCGCGGAGAGGCGACAGGAAGCGAATACGTCGGGCGGATGAAGAAAGCAACCACGGTGAAGCTGCAAAGTAAGTTTTTACACCGAGCCGGCGGAGCATATCCGCGAGATGAAATCGAGAAAGAACGCATAATTCATGCCGATCTTGAATAGATAGATCCTGGACGCTGCGTACGACGAGCCCCTGCCCCGGCGTAACTCTCTTCGATTGATAATTAATTATTCCCCGCCGCCAGGCTGACAGCCACCGCCGACACGCGGCCGTCAATTTTAATTTTTCATTCACGGATTCGCCAAAGTCGCCTGTCGCCCACGTGCTGCTCCGGATTGTCGGACGATACGTAACTCGCTTGCAAAATGAATGGATCGTCAGGCGATCAGGGCAACTTGAATCGAAACGGCCCTGAAATTAACTTCCCCGGGCTTTCGTGACGAAAACGAGCCTGAGATTGACAGTAGGGATCGATTATTGTAATAAGGAAGCGTTGTTGGCACAAGGCTAACATTACGGCGAAATACCAGCGACTCGAACGGGAAGTTCATTTCCTATTCAACATAATAATGCCCCGGTATATCTTGGTGTACAAATAGCCCCACATTCGATATCGTTCGTTCACTCGATAGGGAGATCTTCCCGAAATAATCTCGCTTCCATTCATTAAACGATAAAACAAAGAATAAAACAATTTCGCGTTTGCTTATCTCGTTTCCGCAACTTGTTTACCAGTTTTGCATCAATTTGCAACCTCGAGTATTAATTTAATGAGGCGAACACCCCTTAAACGTCGTATACTACGAAGGGACCATTAAATCTCGGAACGGTTTGTCAAGATAATGGCCAGTAACGCCGTTATTAATTAAATAATAACGAGCAAATCTCGATGGAACGTGATATCCCTGAAGAACCCGCAACGCCTATATTTACGAAGAGAGTACAATCCCGCTGTAAGGATATTATTGTTAAAGCGCGGATCTTTGCGACATATTCACAGACTTATGGTTTTCAAAACCACGGGGCCCCATTGTCCGGCGGGGATCCCGCTGACAGGCGTTCGTTAAACGTGAGTTTTTCACCGACGGGCCCCATGTAATTTGTAACTCGTGCGAGGTGAATGCGGCTTAAAGACGGTTCAAAGAAGCTGTATGAGTCAGCCGTCCCTGAAAGTGAATCTCCCGCGACGAAGCGGGGACGTGCAGCTGGCACGGTGGAACCGATCGGGATCGGCCGAAGAAGAAGAAGAAGAAGAAGAGGAGGAAAAAGGAGAAGAAGAAGACAACTACGACGACGACGACGACGACGACGACGACGATGCAGGGAACTCGACGAGGTGGACGGTGATGAGAACTAGCACCGGTTACGCAAGAAAACCGCGGGATAGAATCCAGATCTCGTTAACCCGGGACCGGATTATTTGTTTTTCGCGAATCCCCGTTTCAACAGTCATCGCCGGTCGAGCCGTGCAAGAGCGCGTGGATTCGTCGCACCGCGACCACCGAGTGATTTATGTATAGCGAGGATAGCGAGGAACATCGCGATGATTAATTACATAATACGCACTTCCGCGACCTCTCTTTTTCATTACGTTACGGAAACGATTATCGTTGCGCGGTGCCTTCAACTCGAAATTGAAGATGATGTAAAGGAGCTGCACACACGTGATGCTTTGTAAAATTGATTTAACAAAGGGGAAAAAATTCAAATCGCGTAACATTGTGGAAAAAGTGTCGACTAGCGCTACTTACGAGTTGTATATTATCGACATACAAACTGACGAAATAATTGTACAAAATATCTTTCCCACGTTTTTTCAGAAATAAATCTTAATTGAGAAAGAAATTTTAACTTTCGGATAATTACTGTCTCCTATGTATGTAAAATCTTGATCCGATTCCAGTGTATTTTCACACATCCACTAAAGAATACCGTCTCACCATTCAGCTTAGAAACGTAATTAGATCCTATCAGGCGTGAAGTGGATCTGCTGACAGCCTTAATGCGCACGCGAGGAAGTTACTTAACCCTTCCGTTACTAAAACGGGAAACCTTTGCCGTGCACCACCACATGTTACTATAGACCGACGTTATAATCATCCGAGTGAAATAAATACATCTGTCTTTCTCTCGTGGTTATAACAGCGAACGGAATTAGCGCAATCGATTCTCGGATTGCGCGAGCAATTGCAAATGGGACGAACGAAAGAAAACAGAAGGAATGAAAAAGAAAACCGCGTCCCCTTACCTCCAGGTAGCCGACGGGTCCATTGAAGGGATAATCGCCGAGACGGCGTTCCTCGTCCAGGAATTTCCCAGCTTTTCCGTTCACCGGCGGGCAGAAGAGGCCGTAGTTGAAGCTCTCCTTCAGTTCCTGCAAGACGATGAAATGTTGATATTAAGGCACAGGTGAATCGCGCGAGACAGGATCAAAGCGACCCGCCACCCCCACTTTTTCCGATTGACACATGCATGTAGCAACAACAACGAACGGGCATCTTTCCGAGGCAAGATTCAGGCACAAGATTTGCAATCACTTCGCAAGTCATTCTCTCTTCAACGACAGTCATGCCTATTTGATAATTGAAGGGCTCGATGCATCGACTAATATGTACAATATATTACACATGGTGCACTCAGTGTGTACAGATCGCAAAACACCAATTATTAATGTCATTAATACCCACTTGATTCGATGTAACTTACTCCAACGATGTTAAACAGATAGAAATATTCATTTGTTGGATTGCAAACTGATTTATATTTTTTGAGAATAATTATTTAAATATAAAGTTTTATTTAATCTTGTAATGTGCATAATTTCTTATATATATATTAGTCCTACTTTGGTCGTTACGTCGGATAGACGTGCCTTCGAACACTTTTCTCCGAATGACACCCAAGGATGGATTGTAGACCGTTTCCTTTGATATATCTTTGATAATTTATTATTTAACATCTATTTCCTTGAAAAGAACCACAATCCGTATGGTCGAAACGTTGGAATATAATTAATAAAGACATCTGCCAGCCTAACGTCGTTGGATAATCCTTCCTACTGTTAATAAACTACTGGCGACTTACACTCATTCGTTGTCTTATATACAGGGTGTGTCTTTCCATATCCGACAAAATTTTTGAGAAGGTAGAACGGATCGAGATGAACGGAAAAGTGCTGTACCATTTTGCAATTTTCGTAATAGTTAACGAGTAATTAATTATTAAAAATCGTTGTCTTAGGCCGGCCTACCGCCCAATTCGAGCGCGTGGCGAGATGTGCGCATAGCAATATCGATCGCCGGGCGGTCACATCTTGCCACGCGCTCGAAGTGGGCGGTAGGCCGGCGTAAG